TAAAAGCAGTAAATTCGACCTTGCTAACCGAACACTCCTCTGTGGCTAAATTGGTAAAGGCACGTCAAGCGAAATGACGGTTCCATATAGGATACAGGTTCGAATTCTGTCGGAGGATGAATATTTTCTGTGAAAATTTCTCAGACATTCAGGCCGGTAAATGTTGTTTAATACTGTTTATTATAAACAGAGTATTTACTTAAATATTTGTATCTATAAAAGAATGTATAAACATAAAAATGTCTTTATATATATATATATATATATATATATATATATATATTAAGTAATTCATCAAGTCTAGAAGAAACTTCAACAGAATGTAGAAAGCACTGGACAGCCGTTTCGTGCTATATTTGGGACTCATCAGCAGTGTGCATCCACTACCGAGAATTGAAACCCGGACAGTTACGTTATCAGGCAAACATTATGCCAACTGTACCAACAGGCCTCAGTGATGAAGAGGCAGCGAATTAGACTCGATATAGCGCCACTTGATCACATATTCCATGGTGGAACTCATCTGAGTAAGCCGGTTCAAGCAAGGATATACAAGTGATATATAGTTAAATTCCCAGATCAATTCTGTAGACAAAACAAATTGGTATAAGACGACAACTGGAAAATAAAATCTTAGTTTTTGCCGACGTGTTTCATCTTATGACTTTTTCAAGGCAAAAATGAAATCAAAATGTTTTTGTTGTTATAGTTACATTACAAAATCCAAATTTAAAAAAGAGACAGATGCTTCTGCATAAGCCTCTTTCTGTTTAATGTAAGTTTCCTTTGTACTGAGAGTTTTTTTTTTCTTTCCATGTCGACAATATTGTTAAATTCCCAGATCACTTCTGTGGGCAAGACAAAGTGGTATAAGATTACAATTGACTAAAAAGAATATATATATATATATATATATATATATATATATATATATATATATATATATATATAATAAAGTAATTGATTTAAAAAATTTTTTTTTCGCTACACAGTTCTAACCATGTTTCAAAAATGGAAGCTGAAAGCTTCGAATTTAATTTTGTAATTAAATTAAAGACATTAGTTCCATTTCATCCTCAAGCGAATTTTGGAGTAACTTTTAAAATTACTGGGTTTTAAAGGCACAGCAAAAAATCATAATTCACGTTTCCAAGGATACAGAGAAATCTATTCATCCAGACAAGGGGTGTCTGCGTGTTCATTATCGCTGTATTTTGATGTATCAGTTATTAGTTACGTTTTTGGTATGGGTAGGGATGTATTTTTTCAATGAAATCTGACATCCGTTAAATGCATGTCATCTGGATTTTTTTTTAAATTTATTGTTAATGGCAAAGATTCTTACGGCATTTTTTTTCTATTTGCATACTTATAGATTTTTGGGGGTGTTTAGGTTAGAATACGTTTTATTTAACTACGATTTGAAAAATATTTTCACTTTTAATTTTTAATATACTATATTTCTTTTTAAAACAAGTAAATGTATTAGAATCACTTACAGTATGTAAAATTATTTTCACATCAAGTATAAGTGTCTTTTACTAGGTCACAATTTTTAAAAAATTTACATTTAAATATTATTTAAGTAAAATTTGACAATGATGGCAAAAATAGCTAATTAATTTCACTGATTTAGTAAATTTTTATTTTTATATAAACCTAGTAATATATTGTTTCTCATGTAAGTACAAAGGACATGGGTCATTCAATGGCTTACATCTTCTAGCTTTTCATATTAATTTCATTTTACTGTAGGTGTTTTATTGGATTCTTTTAAGTGCTTGTAGTACTTTGAGAGAGGTGTTTAGGTTAGAATACGTTTTATTTAACTACAATTTTAAAAAATGTTTAGGTTAGAATCCGTTTTATTTAACTAAAATTTTAAATACAACTTTAAAATATTTTCACTGTTAGTTTTAATAGACTATATTTCTTTTTAAAAGAAGTAAATGTATTAGAATTACAGTAAGTAAAATTATTTTTCCATATCAAGTATAAGTATGTATATTACGATTTTTAAAATTTTATATTTAAATATTATTTAAGTAAAATTCTGCAAATGACAAAATTTTTGATGAGCATGTCAATTTTATATATATATATATATATATATATATATAGTTAAATTCCCAGATGAATTCTGTGGACAAGACAGATTGGTATCAAATGACAATTGGAAAAAAAAAAATTACATTTTGCCGACGTGTTTCGTCTTCCGACTTTTTCAAGGCAAAAATGAAATCAAAATGTTTTTGTTGTTATAGTTACATTAAAATTCAAAATTAAAAAGATAGACGCTTGTGTCTAAGCCTTTTTTCTGGTTAATGTAAATTACCTTTATGTCGACAATATAGTTAAATTCCCAGATGAAAAAAAATAAAAAAAATAATAATCCCTTACTGTAAAGGTAATTTACAGAATTGATAAGCTGTAAAAAAAAACAACTCCAACAATCAATCATCTTTGCTGTTGTTATCACAATGTTTCAGCTATTGGGCATTCTGGTTTTCATCCATTCTATGTTGAGCCCGGGAATTTTGAACTGAACCCTTTATTTAATCTATAGGGATAGACTGCTCTAATTCAACTGCCCACATCTAAGAATAGCTCATCTAGTTCTTATTTTTAGTACAGCTCAGTAACTCTTCCCCAGTCTTTTGAACAGGAGTAGAGGTTTATCCCTTGTTCCCTGTTTAGCATTAGGTTTATAGTTCCTTCTAAAGTCTTTTCATTCTCTTTCACTTCCAGGAGCCCCTTGCATCTTAGTGGCATTATTGCCTTACTTAGGATGAATTGATTAAAAAAGAAGTTGTAACAAAAAAAAAAAAAACTTCAGTGTGGGCATTCAAATATAACAAACAGCACTCATCAGAAGGCAGGCTAGGTTTAAGACTCCAAGTTCTCCACAGGGAACTGTCCTACAAATTAAAGCATTGGTTCATGAATTTGGTGACATAGCAATTCTGAGTTCAATCCATGCTGGGCAGCTTCTAGCTGGACTCAGTAGAAACAGAGCAAGCAATAACTGACCAGTACAAAAACTTAAGACTTAGACGAAATATCCCTAGACATGGGCAGTGGAACAAGAACAATCTACCTCTGTAGATTAAATAAAGGGTTCAGTTCAGAATTCTCTGGTAGGTTAACTATATTGTATTGCCTATTGTTCTTAGCAAACTCTGGTGACTATGGACTGTCTGAATTTCTGGGATGAAGAGTTATCTTTATTTACATGCGGACTATTGTCCTCATCTTTGTTGTTAATATCAGCTGATTGCCTTCTGTCTGAATTTCTGGGATGAGGAGTTATTATTTACAGTATTTATACATGAACAATTATCCTCATCGGGTGTATGTCAATCTGGGTAACCTACACATCATAAAAACACCTACATATTTAAAAATGTTTTCCTGTGATATTTTTTAAGTAAAAGTAATGTTTCAATTCAAATTGATTAAACATTAAATCCACTAATTTTTCACAAATAATTTTTCAAAAAATTATATTTTATTTTTGAAACATTTTTTAATAAAGAGAATTATTTCGCATTGAAAGATGTCAATAAAGTCGATTCTATCAATTTTATTGATCATCAGAAAAAAATGATTCCGATCAATTTAAATTCATTTAGAAATACAGCATAGTATATTGCTCATTGTAAATATTAAATTTAATCTATTAGCTTGGAATAAAAACTAAAATAAAAACTTCAAGGAAGATTTTTTTTCATTTTTAAAATACATTTTAAACCTTTGCTGTCACTTTTTTGGTAGGTAAATACATACTATATATCTAGTTGTCGGGTTTTTTCTGAGTGACTTTTTTTAGAATTATCTCCTTTCGACTCCAGATGGAATGGCGGACAGTTTTATGAGCCAGGAAGTGAAAAACTTGACTCTGTGAAAGAGTGTACAACAACAATGGTAATTTAAACGAATACATTCAAAATGCCACCATTTTTTTTCTTGGTTTTGACAACATTGGTAAATGCATATACAGAGTACAATGGGTAAAAATACACCATTTTATATTTTTAATTTCACACATGTTTGTTGTTTTTGATTTTGTCAACTGCAGAGTATAGTACTGGGTCCCATCTGTGAGAAAAAGAGTACCATGATGCAATTCACACCACCAGAAATTTGGAAACAGCATGCTGCACTACATGGCTTTCACACCAAAAGCTCCAATATGAACATTACAAGAGTGTTTCCATGTCAATCTGAGGACAGTGTAGTCATGGCTGTCAGACAATTTCTGTGACAACATCACCCCTTACTTATCTGGCCACCTAACTCCCCAAACTTAACCCTCTTGATGCTGACGTACGAGAGACCAACAAAACTCCTTGTAACACCAAGATAATCTGAAGGCAAGGATTATGGCAGCATTCACCAACTTATACAAGAAGACCCTCCAGAAGAGTTGCAAGAGATTCCAAAGTCGTTTGAAGGCCGTGGTTGAAGCCAGTGGCTATTTTATTGAATAAATTTACTCTTTAGTATCTCAAGATATTTTTGTGTAATTTTGGTGAATCTATCTGTTGAAATAAAACGTCAATGTTATTTTCATTTTTGCATCATTCAGACGACAATTTATCCATTGCATCCTGTAAATGGTGATTTAAATAAACATTGAAATATTAAAATTTTGTTTAACTCCATGCATATTATATCATTAGGTGTGTGCACAAGTTCTCAGCACTTTCTCTTTTAAAAGCAAGAGCATGGATACCCAGCCAGAAATATTTTTTGGTGAAAGCTTTTTTTCATGCACCTCATATTCCCATTGACGTTGCTTAGCTTCAGTGATCGTACGAGAATCAGTTTCACACATGAAATGGCTAGATGTAAACTTAAGTTCTATACTAATAGTATCTTCTCTCATACTTCTCACTTATGGAACTCTCTTCCATCCTCTTGCTTTCAAGTCAACTTTGATCTTCAAAAATTTAAATGCAATGTCAATCGTTATCTATTACACCACCTGCACATCCAAGCTTACAGCACTTGGTATTCCCAAGCAGTCACTCATCTAGGTACTGACCAGGTTCAACGTTGCTTAACTTCAGTGATCAAACAAGAACTGATGTTTCAGTGTGGTATAGCCATAAGCCTCAGACATCTAGCCATACTGATGAGCTATGATACAGTGAAACAGTCTATGGATGACAAAATATATATATATATGAAATATTATATACAAATGCATATATCAGACTAATAGTAGGTAAGTGAATGACAAAAAAGAGAAAGTAATTTATTAAGGCAAAAATGTATTGAAGGTGCACTAATTTCCGAGTCATCTATATGGGATAATTAAAAATTGAAAGGTAAAATTCTGAATAAAATCATTCAAATATCTAGATGCACCTGATGTCTAAATTTAAAGATGAACATAACTGTATCTCTATTTTTTTTTTTTTTTTTTTTTTTTTTTGTAAAACTGTAACCGGCATTTGTTATAATTCCCCTCACTTCCCCCTGCTCCGCCAGATATATAAGACCAACTTCATTGTTAAAACCATTGTTACTCTGAAGTTCCTTCTTGGAAAGAAATGTCAATATGGAGTTTTTCCATTTTTGCTATTCACTCTTGTGACAAGATACACAATTCCTTATTCTAAATAATAAGAAACAGAGAATCTTGTTGCTTGCATTGCCTGAAGATTGAGAGAAAACCGAATAAACATCTTGGTGTTGCAGAAAAGCTGTAAGATATGAGTGTTGTTTTGCATATACAAGGTTTGATCAAAACCTTATTGGCACCGGTGCTATAAAAAGAAAACTACAACACGTATCAATTCGGCATTTAATCTTCTTTGAAATAGTCCTCTTCTGAAGTCACACACTTTCTGCAGCATTGTTTCAATTGATTGGAGTATTCATGGAACTTCTTTTTCAGGATAGCAACCCACTGCCCCATCACATTCTCTTGGATTTCCCTGATGTCTTGAAATCTTCTTCCATTCAAGTCGGATTTGATTTTTGAAGAGGAAAAATTTGCAAGTGTCAAAATCTGGGGAATATAAAGTGGTTGTTAAACCTGGGCAATGTTGTGCTTGACCAAAAACTGCTGCACAAGACATGGTCACTGATAGAACCTTTGTGTTGTGGTGAGACGACCACACTCTGCACACTTTCCTTCCAAGAACTGCTATAAACAATGGAAGTGAACGAGAACAATATAACTTAGTGAGTATGCGCAACAAAGTTTGAGGTCAATCTGTGCCAAGCAGTTTCGTGCTTTTTGCTACGAAAAGTGGTACACTGTTTTGCTGGATAATTTTTCTTGTCAGAATCTGTCATACTTATTTATAAGTCTACCATTTGTACATGCATCAAATATTGTTGCTTCAGTTCTTCTGCTATGTATTTAGAGATTCTTGATAAAATTCAAGGAAGAATCTGCAATGTTATTCATCCTGACCTAGCATCTTAGCTTCAGTCATTTTCACTGCAATATAGCTTCTCTATGCCTTTTCTATAAATACTTTCATGGTAACTGTCCTTATGAACTTTCCTCTATGGTAACAAGACTTTATGAATTTAAATGTACTGCTAGATTGGCAGCAAGGTCTCATCCTTTTACAATTGAAATGACTAGATGTAACTGTAAGTTCTTTGTTAATAGGTTTCTGTCTCACACTTCTCCTTGGTGGAACTCTTTTCTGGCTTCTTGCCTTCCAGCCAACTTTAATTTTCAAAAGTTTAAATGCAATGTCAATCATTGTCATCTGTCTTCTTAATTCCTGTTTTATTTTTTTGTCTTGTTAATGTTTTCTTTTTCTCCTATTCTCTCACACCCAGTAAGCCCTTCCATCTTGCCATGTTTAAAAAGAAAGTTTCATACTAACAATGTGTATATACAGGAAAAATGTTCCCTCACTTTTAAAAGGGTTCTCTTATATCACCCAATGGAAACCCAAGTTCTTTCAAAATGCAGAACCACACACTTTGCAAAGAAATGGCTTCTCTCCAGTCAACATTCTCATATGTATTTTTAATGCTGAGCTGTCTGAATACTCCGACCCACAAACTTCACAGGAAAATAATTTATCTCCAGTGTGTGTTTGCATGTGTTGTTTTAAATGTGAACTGTCTGTAAATGTGGATGTGCAAATTTCACACAGAAATTCTTTCTCTTTATGGGTTCGCATGTGTCGCTTTAGAGATGAACTGACTGTAAATGTAGAAGAACAAATTTTGCAGGAGTACGGTTTCTCACCAGTGTGTTTTCGCATATGCTCTTTTAAGTTGGAACTGCTGTAAAATGCAAATCCACAAACATGACATGCATAGGGTTTCTCCCCAGTGTGAATGCGAATGTGTTGTTTTAAGTGGTAACTTCGAGAAAAAGCAGATTTACACACTTCACATGAAAATGGTTTCTCTCCAGTGTGTGTTTGCATATGTCGTTTTAATTGTGAATTTTGACAAAATGCCAATTTACAGATCTCACAAGAAAATGGCCTGTCTCCACTGTGTCTTTGCATATGTAGTTTTAAGTTTGAACTTTGGGAAAATGCAGACCCACAAATATCACAAGAGTAAGGTTTCTCTCCTGTGTGTGTCCGCATGTGGTCTTTTAAAGCAGAACTACATGAAAATGCAGAAGTACATACTTTACAAGAGTATGGTTTTTCTCCAGTGTGTGTCCGCAAATGCTTTTTTAGATTCGAAGTAGTTGAAAATGAAGATCCACAAACTTCACAACAGTACGGCTTCTCACCTGTGTGTGTCCGCATGTGTATTTTTAGTTTATAGTTCTTTGAAAATGCAAATCCACAAACATCACAACAAAATGGTTTTGCCTCAGAAAGTTGGTTCATATTTGATTTTTTTTTTTTTTCAGAAGAAACCATGGGTTTTCTCTGTCATTTTTATTCCATACACAATGTCCAAATTGTCTGCAGGGTTTAGTTCATAGGAGCCATACTTTAAGGAAAACTTCCTAAACAAAAAAAAAAAACATAATTAAAGAAAATCATGTCAGCAATTTTCATACTTAAAGGCATTGAAATATTAATTTTCAAAAGTTTACCCTTTCCTACTTGTATGGGTTGTGTAATTTTGTTTAGCAGCATATCAACCTCTATGGGTTATTTAATGCCAAAATCTAAATATTTTGAACACAATTTTACGGCTTCAACTAAATATGTACTATAAACAGGTATTGTTGGTTGGTTGATTTCAAAAATGTATCACTGGTAATATTTTTTTACTATAAAATCTATTTTTATGCTTTTATAGTACTTTTACCCCAGTTTGGGGGTTAACTATTTGCCCATAGCTGGGACCCTAACAGGTGTTACCATCCCAGGTCAGTGTGGACCTGGGAACAAGAGCAATTAAGAGGTGGTTCCATGCTCTTCAAAACCTCCTGATCAGAGGCATTGCTGCTGGATGTAGTTTATTGTCATACCCAGGACAACTTTCCTATCTGTAAAATGGGTTTTAAACATGAACTGATCTCTATTCATTAGGTACTGATACCACTGGGAAAAGTATGAATCTAGTTTTCAATACACTGTATCCCAATGGTTACTAATTGGCACGCTGCATAGGTGTGGCAGAAGAGGATAGCAGGTGAGGCGGAATGATTGAAAGACAAAGATTTAGAAACTTTCACAAAATTCATATGCCAAAAATAAATATGATTTCAAAATTTAAAATATTATTATACATTATTTGTAATTGCATGCATGAGTTCCAGTATAAATAGTTATTATAAATAATTATTGACTGATTTTATCATTGTGATATTTTTGCATTATATCAAGTACTAGCAGGAGAGCCCGGCGTTGCCCAGGGATGCAACAGTAAGAGATAGATCAAGTATCGACCATCATAAAGACTGAAAAATAAAATTGACAAAGATTATTGTTTAAGGTTGACGGACACGTATGTTTTAATTAGTTTTTTGTTTTGTTTTTTTTTTTTTTTACGAATTGGTCAAACCCAAACTCAAACAAAAACATTGTTTTCAATCGTTATGAGTCTACCGATTGAATAGAATTTTATTATAAACAATTGTCTTGTAAATGGAATTTTTAAAGCATTCTGAATGTAAAAATAAAGAAAAAAGTGTGCAAGACAATAAGAAACACTACCTGCCAAAAAAAAAAGTGAAGTTTTGTTGAAATCGGTTGAAAAATGTAGGAAATCCGATCCCATATATAAATGAACACACATACACACACACACACACACACACACACAAACAAACAACCAGTGTTTTATAATAAGTATAACTCGATATGAGTTGTCCCCCTTTCATTCTGGCAACAGAATTGTGTTTTATCGTGTTTTCAAATTGATTTCAGGCAAAAACAATTATGTTTTTCCCATTTTTGGTGCTGTCAGAACCACTGCAAGGTAATTTTACGCAGTCCTGTGAAGTTTTGTTGAAATCGGTTGAAAAATGTAGGAAATCCAATCTAATATGTAAACGTACAGACACACACACACACACACAACCTGCGTTTTATAATTAGATTAAGAATATAGTAACTAAGGTCCACAAATTGGAAAAGAGAGTTATCTGATAAATTTTAATTCTGAAAATGTGGCCCAGAAAAAGAAAGTTGGGAACCACTTCACTAAGGTAAGGATAAACATGGATAAACGTGTGCACAATAAACAATGTGTCAAAAGGACGTTCATTCCCATGACACCACTTTTATTTATCAAAAACTACCTTTGCCCTTTGGCAATGTTTATTGTTTTAAAAAGCAACAATTAGAATTTTAATGAAACTGAATTTATACATTTGGTTTGTTCTTGAAAATTTACAGCAAAAATATTAAACATTTATTAAATTGTTTATTTAGCATTTTTATCACTTTAAACATTATTTTTAGTGGTTATTCATATTTGAGTAGACAATCCATTTACTTATTAAACAGTATATTTATCTATTTTCATCTAACAGCCTGAATAATCGAGAAATTATATTAAAGTGAGATATGTGCCAGCAGAATTTGAACCTGCGTTCTTCCGGAGGGCGCATATTTTTCTTTAACAAGATTTCTTGAATATTCAGGCCAGTAGGCAAAAAATAAATATACTGTTTAATAAATAAATGGAGTGTCTACTCAAATATGAGTATCC